CGAAGCCGCTCGCCCCCTTTAATTTTTATTTTTTACATTTTTGAATTCTAACTCACCGGAAGGGTTGTCAGCACTGGAGCGGCGTTCATTAGCCGGCGGTTCCTGAAAAGTCAACGTAAGACTTCCCCTAGGACTTCGTCCACAATCCTCCGCATTCAGCGTGCTTCTAGCAATGCTTCCTCTTGGACTTCTATTTTCGCCGACACTTTCCGGCCCAATACTCCCCCTGGGACTTCTATCACTTACATATTCCCCCGCTATGCTTCCTCGCGGACTTGTTCTAACACAAAGACTTTCCGGGGCAATACTCCCTCTTGGACTTCGGTTGCTCTCCTTGTCTTCTTTGTGCCAAATTGTGGACTCAGATGGTGTTAAACTCGTCCGTGGGGTTCTGTTCGAGTCCGGAACGAGACTATTTCTAGGACTTCGGTTGAATTCTGGTGCTAAATTCGCTATACTGTGTCTAGGACTTCGACTAGATTCCGGAATTAGACTGTTTCTAGGACTTCGATTAAAACTATCCGGCACTAAACTATTTCGTGGACTTAACGCAGCATCCGGCACTAAACTATTACGTGGACTTCGCGAGTAAGTGTCATTTGGCACTAAACTATGTCTTGGACTTCGCAGATTTGACGTTTCCGGGACTAAACTATTTCTAGGGCTTAAAACGTCCGGTGCTAGACTGTGTCTAGGACTTCGGAGATTTTCATGTTCTGGAAATTGGGAATCTAGGGATATGTCAGGAATGATACTATGTCTAGGACTTCGGTTTATTTCGGGTGCTAGGGTGTTCCTGGAGGCTCTTTCACTGTCAACGGGTGAAACTGCGATGCTTGCGCGTCGACCGGGACTTGTACCCGCAGATCTAGAAGGCCGGGTTTGGGGCGACGAAGCAGTGCTTCGGGACGCTCGTCGGCGACGAGACGAGGTGCTTCGGTGCAGCATTCCTGAAAAAATGTGGAAAATAATGCTGAAACACTATATTACATAACGAGATGGAAAGTGTTTCATTTCTATAACAGAAGGTTAGTAATGAGACAATTTCCAACCATCGCCAAGGTTAGAAATGTCAACATTACGTATTGTAAATTGCGTGTTTAAACTTTTGGATAATTTCTTGAAAACCTCGCCTCTAATGCTAAAATAGTAATTTACACAAGGAGGTGGGAAGTGTTTCATTTCTGAGGTAGGTAATAGAGGTAGATAACAGACATTCGCCAAAATTAAAAATGTCACTTTTGTAAAATTTCATAAAAAAAACAACCTCTAATGCTGAAATACTATATTACATAACAAACTGGAAAGTGTATCAAGGTTTACCAAGGTAAATAGGAAGTGTTTCATTTCTGTTGAAAAATAGGTAATAGAGGTAGGTAATAGACATCACCATGCTTAAAAATGTCATTTTTGAAAAATTTCATGAAAAACCAGCCTCTAATGCTAAAATAGTATTCTACTTAACGAGGTGGCAAGTGTTTCATTTCTCTTGAGAGGTAAGTAATGACATCGCCAAGGTTAAAAAAGTCAATTTTGGAAAATTACTTAAAAAAACAGCCTCCATTGTTGAAATACTATATTACGTAACGTGGTGAGAAGTGTTTCATTTCTGTCAAGAGGTAGGTAATAGAGGTAAGTAACCACATGTCCAAGGTTAAAAATGTCGCTTTTGGAAAAAGCCAACCTCTAATGCTCAAACACTATATTACATAACGAGGTGGGAAGTGTTTCATCTATGTCGAGAGGTTAATGGAGATAGATAATAGACATCGCCGTAATTAAAAATGTCACTTTTGAAAAATTTAATGAAAAACAAGCCTTTAAAGCTGAAATACTATATTACATAACAAAGTGAGAAGTGTTTCATTTCTGTCAAGAGGTAGGTAATGGAAGTAGGTAAGGACATGTTCAAAGTTAAAAATGTCGCTTTTGAAAAATTTCTTGATAAGCCAGCCTCTAATGTTAAAATACTATATCACACAACGAGGTGAAAAATGTTTCATTTTTGTCAAGAGGTACGTAATGACATCGTCAACGTAAAAAATGTCACTTTTGGAAAATTACTTGAAAAACCAGCCTCCAATGCAGAAATACTATATTACATAACGTAGTGAAAAGTGTTTTATTTTTGTCGAAACTTAGGTAATAAAAGTAGGTAATAGAGCTAGGTAACAGTTAAAATGTCATTTTTAGCAAATTTCATGAAAAACCAGCCTCTAATGCTGAAATCATATATTACATAAGGAAGTGGGAAGTGTTTCATTTTTTTAGAGGTAGGTAACAGAGCTAGCTAACAAACATCGGCAAGGTTAAAAATGTTATTTTTGGAAATTTTCATTAAAAAACAGTCTCTAATGCTAAAATAGTATTTTGCATAACGAGGTGGCAAATGATTCATTTCTGTCGAGAGGTAGATAATGACATCGCCAAGGAAAAAAATTTCACTTTTGGAAAATTACTTGAAAAACCAGCCTCTAGTGCTGAAATACTATATTACATAACGAGGTGGAAAGTGTTTCATTTCTGTTGAGAGATAGGTAATAAAGGTAGGTAATAGACATCGCCATGGTTAAAAATGTCATTTTTGGAAAATTTCATGAAAAACCAGCCTCTAATATTGAAATCCTATATTACATAACGAGGTGGCAAATGTTTCATTTTTGACGTGAAATAAGTAATGTCATCGCCAAAGTTAAAAATGTCACTTTTAGAAAATTTCATGAAAAAATAGCCTCCTATGCTAAAATACTATATTACATAATGAGATGGGAAGTGTTTTATTTCTGTCGAGAGGTAATAGAGCTCGGTAACAAAAATCGGCAAGGTTAAAAATGTCATTTTTGGAAAATTTCATAAAAAAACAGCCTCTAATGCTAAAATAGTATTTTACATACTAGGTGAGAAGTGTTTCATTTTTATCGACAGGTAGGTAATGACATCGCCAAGGTTAAAAATGTCACTTTTAAAAATTTTCATAAAAAACAGTCTCTAGTGCTGAAATACTATATTACATAACGAGGAGGGAAGTGTTTCATTTCTGTTGAGAGATAAGTAATAGTGGTAGGTAATAGACATCGCCATGGTTAAAAATGTCACTTTTAGAAAATTTCATGAAAAAACAGCCTCTAATGCTGAAATCCTATATTACATAACGAGGTGGTAAGTGTTTCATTTTTGTCGTGAAGTAAGTAATGACATCACCAAGGTTAAAAATGTCACTTTTGGAAACTTCATAAAAAACCAGCCTCTAATGCTAAAATATTATATTACATAACGAGATGGAAAGTGTTTTATTTCTGTCAAAAGGTAGGTAATGGAGCTAAGTAACAGATATCGGCAAGGTTAAAAATGTCATTTTTGAAAAATTTCATAAAAAAACAGCCTCTAATGCTAAAATAGTATTTTACATAACGAGGTGAGAAGTGTTTCATTTTTATCGACAGGTAGGTAATGACATCGCAAAGGTTAAAAATGACACTTTTGAAAATTTTCATAAAAAACAGCCTCTAGTGCTGAAATACTATATTACATAACAAAGTGGGAAATGTTTCATTTCTGTTGAGAGGTAGATAATGGAGGTAGGTAATTGACATCGTCAAGGTTAAAAATGAATAAAATAAAATTTGCGAGTGGGTGTTTTTCAGGTCTGGAAGCTAATATCGTGTGCCTCCTTGAGGATCGAGTCCTAATTATCGGAGTTTCCAAGTGCTGATTTTCTTGTTAATTTAGTAGACTTAGTTGGTTTTTTCGAAAGCAACCCAATTACGAGGAGACATCAACTGAATCGATTTATTACTTTTCAGTTTAATGAACATCGACTAGTTGAAGTTTTCTCATTTTCAAGATAAATCATGAAAAAAAATAATGCAAAACAAAAATTTTAATAGCATGGTAAACAATTTTTTGTGTGACTCTCGAGTCTCTGAATTGCATTTTTTTTGTTAATTTTTTTTTTGGTGGTGAAATCACATAATTTTTATTATTGATGAAATAAAACGTTGGGCGTAGGCCACTCTCTCTATAAATGGAAATGATTGAACTCTGGAGGAAATTTATTTCGGTTTTCTCTCTACCCCAAACTTCGATCAAGAACCGTCAAATTTATTTCACTTTTCCACCAACGCATTTTTCCCAACGCCTGGTTTTTGACGTGCAAACTTTGAAATGAGTTTCTTGCAGCTATTTTGAGAATTGTTATAAAAAAA